TATGTTTGCAAGTGTATCACTCAGTGATTGGTTACAAGCCACTGACATAAGACGTTCTCTATTGAGCATGTCTCTATACCTATGTTTTAGCCATGTAATTCATTTACATACATATATGTTTCGTTAACATACTTTTGCCCTGCCCAGGGGTGTGATTTTTAGCATTATAATGAGACCTTTTTCTGAACTTCTTGCTATCTTACAAGTGTCAGGGAGACATTATCCTGCTGGTGTTAGGGAGGCATTCCAGGAATCCTCCGCATCCCACACGCTGTGCTCTGCAAGCATCTCTTAACACACACATACCACACCCCTGCCAGCATCTGCAAGTTGCCTTAAGTATTTAGTTAGATATAGTTTGCAAAAGCTAGATATACCATAAAAAAGATTACATAAAAAGATTACATCATAGGCACTGAGAATGGAGTAGAGATAATCAGGCTCAAAAGATAATTCAGTATTTTGCCTCAGTTTCCAATGAGGAAAATGTTTTGATAAAAATTATAAGAATTATTATAATAAAGGCAGTATAGTTAATGGGAAGAAAGGTATAAATATGGAAATTACCACACCTGAAATGGAAGTAAAACTCAAAGAAATGAATGTGCTCAAACTGGGGGCACTTGGATAATTTTCACCCCAAAATTCTAGAAAACCTAGCACAGGACGCCATTGATCCAGCAGCAATTAGAATGGTTGGGTGAATAACTGACTAAATGGGAGATGGCAATGAATTGCGCTGAATGGGAACCATCAGGCTTGTGTACTAGTAGATTTCCTCAAGTATCAGTTTTGGAACTGATAATATTTCCATTCATAACTTTTACACAAAAGCAGACACGCGATAATGCAATTTACTGATGACTGGAGGCAGTGTCAACATAGAGCAGGATCAGAATAACAGAGTAGAAAAATGGGTGTCTTTGCAGACTGGAAGAATAGCAATGGGATGGAATTTAATAGTACAAAATGTAATAATAACTAGAATTTCTACTATAGGCTGGTAGCTCATCAGCTGGAAACAAGCAAGATGGAGAAAGCCTTGGTTGTACTAGCCAATCACAGGATGCCTATGAGCCACTAATATACGTCAGCAGTGAAAAAAGTAAATCCAATCTTAGAACAGATCATACCATTCAAGACATTAATGGCACTTTTTCATGTGCTCCAGGGTTGGGGGTGCTTTAATTTCCTTTTACCTTAAAAGAAAGCCCGTTCGATGAGCTTTAGTTCAAGTGCCCCGCCACCATTTTGAGGCACAGGATGGTGATACACGAGGGATTCAGGAGGCTGCTGGAGTGCCATAATTGCCACACTCCAGCAGACTGACTTGTCTTTTGATTTTAAGATGGCTCTTCATAAATTTGTAAAAAGGATGGTCTAACACGATTGTCTATGGTAGCAAAAGACTGGACTCCATGACACAGCAAATCCGTTCCAGTCCTGTTCCTAATAGTTAAAAGGAAAACAGCAACTCACACTCCATTTTTGATGGGGTGTTAATAGATATAATGTACAAAGGATTTTGTCTCGCTGTTTCAGCGGATCATAGGAAACACCGCCCTTTGGAGAGCCAGCGACATAGACCAGTAGGGTGGCCACTGAGGTACCTCAAGAATAGAGGACAGTTGCATTTAGTGCAACTGTCCCCCTGTCCCTACCACCATGAACATCGCACGCCTCCTGAGGCTGGGGGGCATGGCGAGGTCCCGCAGGCAGCAGTGGTGGCATTGGTGGTGGGGTGCGGGGAGCTCCTGCAGGCAGCTGCAGTGGTGTCGGCAGCTGGGGGTGTGGGGATGCTGAGCAATGAAAAACAGAGGACATAAAGGCGTTTGGTTTCATATCAATAGAGGACAGAGGACCAGAAAACATGTCTGTCCTCTATAAAACCGGATGAATTACCACCCTATAGACCAGAAATTCTTTTTAGGTTTGTGGACCTGTGGCCTTGTTTTAGGCTTGAGGCACCCTTCAGAAAACACCAGCTCTTAGTTCTCACCCATTTTTTTGAGAACTGCAAAATAACAGAGCCATTTGTCCCTTGCAAAGAGCTCAGAAACACCCTGGCAGGACAGAAGGGCTTTAACATTCTTTCAAATCTCTGGCTGTATCTTGCCAACCACCTCTGCACACCAACCAGTGGCACCTGGGAAAGTCCCTCAGGGCACCCAAGGTGCCAGCCTGGCTGAGAGTCACCGATAGAGACATTAATCTGACTTTATGGGCTCGTTAATGGGAATAAATGGCGACGGGCCCAGGACTGTGTACAGGACTAGGGATTCACACAAATCTGCTCCTCCCATGAACACCACATGCCCCTGGAGGCTGGGGGGACACTGTGAGTTCCCGCAGGCGGAGGCAACCGTGCTGTCAGCGGTGGGAGCGTGATGGTGGCAAGCAGGAAGCTTCCACAGGCAGCAACAAAGCTGGCGGCAGGAACGGGTGGTGAGCACCAGTGACCATCTGCAGATGCCACCTGCAGTGTTGGTGGTGGCCAGTGGTGATCGTGAACTGGCCACAGGCACTGCCAGCGGCGTCAGCAGTGAGGTGGAGGGTGGTGAGCGGTGACCGCCCGCAGTGTTGGCTGCGCCTTTTCGCAGGGGGCGCACCGCCACGCTGGGGGGGAGGGGTGTACGTGCATTGCCAATCAGGAGCATGAAGTTCCCCCCTTTTCTGAGGAGTAACAATATCCTGGAGGTTAACGGGACTTCAGCATCTCGAGGTGGGGGAGAGGGAAGGAAATCCTCTTCCCCTCGGGGGGCAGCGCTGCGATCGCGGTGGGGCTCGGCAGGGCGGGGCGGGGCGGGAGCGGGAGGGAGGGAGGTGCCCTGCCAATTGGCGGCGGGATAAGAGCGGGC